TGTTATTTTTCTTGTAAGATAATCTTGTTGTGTGCGTTTTTAAGAGTATTTTTACCAGCTTCTTATTTCTCAAGTTCGTAACTTAAGAGCATTTTACCAGCTTCTTATTTCTCAAGTTCGTAACTTAAGAGCATTTTACCAGCTTCTTATTTCTCAAGTTCGTAACTTAAGAGCATTTTACCAGCTTCTTAGTTCTGAAGTTCGTAACTTAAGAGCATTTTACCAGCTTCTTATTTCTCAAGTTCGTAACTTAAGAGCATTTTACCAGCTTCTTATTTCTCAAGTTCGTAACTTAAGAGCATTTTACCAGCTTCTTAGTTCTGAAGTTCGTAACTTAAGAGCATTTTACCAGCTTCTTATTTCTGAAGTTCGTAACTTAAGAGCATTTTACCAGCTTCTTATTTCTCAAGTTCGTAACTTAAGAGCATTTTACCAGCTTCTTATTTCTCAAGTTCGTAACTTAAGAGCATCTTTACCAGCTTCTTATTTCTCAAGTTCGTAACTTAAGAGCATTTTACCAGCTTCTTATTTCTCAAGTTCGTAACTTAAGAGCATTTTACCAGCTTCTTATTTCTCAAGTTCGTAACTTAAGAGCATTTTACCAGCTTCTTATTTCTCAAAGATTTGTACACATTAGGAAGAGCATTTTACCAGCTTCTTATTTCTCAAGTTAGCAACTTAAGAGCATTTTTACCAGCTTCTTATTTCTCAAGTTCGTAACTTAAGAGCATTTTACCAGCTTCTTATTTCTCAAGTTAGTAACTTAAGAGCATTTTACCAGCTTCTTATTTCTCAAGTGTAACTAAAGCATTTCACTTTTTTTCTCAAGTTGAACTAAAGCATTTTACCAGCTTCTTATTTCTCAAGTTCGTAACTTAAGAGCATTTTACCAGCTTCTTATTTCTCAAGTTAGTAACTTAAGAGCATTTTTACCAGCTTCTTATTTCTCAAGTTCGTAACTTAAGAGCATTTTACCAGCTTCTTATTTCTCAAGTTCGTAACTTAAGAGCATTTTACCAGCTTCTTATTTCTCAAGTTCGTAACTTAAGAGCATTTTACCAGCTTCTTATTTCTCAAGTTCGTAACTTAAGAGCATTTTACCAGCTTCTTATTTCTCAAGTTCGTAACTTAAGAGCATTTTACCAGCTTCTTATTTCTCAAGTTCGTAACTTAAGAGCATTTTACCAGCTTCTTATTTCTCAAGTTCGTAACTTAAGAGCATTTTACCAGCTTCTTATTTCTCAAGTTCGTAACTTAAGAGCATTTTACCAGCTTCTTATTTCTCAAGTTCGTAACTTAAGAGCATTTTACCAGCTTCTAATTTCTCAAGTTCGTAACTTAAGAGCATTTTTACCAGCTTCTTATTTCTCAAGTTAGTAACTTAAGAGCATTTTTACCAGCTTCTTATTTCTCAAGTTCGTAACTTAAGAGCATTTTACCAGCTTCTTATTTCTCAAGTTAGTAACTTAAGAGCATTTTACCAGCTTCTTATTTCTCAAGTTAGTAACTTAAGAGCATTTTTACCAGCTTCTTATTTCTCAAGTTAGTAACTTAAGAGCATTTTTACCAGCTTCTTATTTCTCAAGTTAGTAACTTGAAAATATTTTAGGTACTTATGGAGTAAAAAATTTTAATTAAACAATAAGGATCTTCCGTTACTTAATAATCTTAATGAAACTCGTTAGTTTTTATGTTATTTTATTTGTATTAAAAATAGGATTTCTTAACAGTAATAATCTAAGAATCAATTATATAAAAGTAAAGCATAAAGAATCATAAAATCAGCAGCTGACATATATCATCGCGTAATCCATTGTCAACAGAATACTGCATGAAATCAAACACGCGTCAGTGTATAGTAATACTGTGTCAGTGTATAGTTATACTGCGTCAGTGTATAGTAATACTGCGTCAGTGTATAGTAATACTGCGTCAGTGTATAGTAATACTGCGTCAGTGTATAGTAATACTGCGTCAGTGTATAGTAATACTGCGTCAGTGTATAGTAATACTGCGTCAGTGTATAGTAATACTGTGTCAGTGTTATTAGTTAATACTGCGTCAGTGTATAGTTATACTGTGTCAGTGTATAGTAATACTGGTCAGTGTATAGTAATACTGTGTCAGTGTATAGTAATACTGCGTCAGTGTATAGTAATACTGCGTCAGTGTATAGTAATACTGTGTCAGTGTATAGTAATACTGGTCAGTGTATAGTAATACTGCGTCAGTGTATAGTAATACTTGGTCAGTGTATAGTAATACTGTGTCAGTGTATAGTAATACTGTGTCATGTATAGTAATACGTGTCATGTATAGTATCTGTGTCAGTGTATAGTAATACTGTGTCAGTGTATAGTAATACTGTGTCAGTGTATAGTAATACTGTGTCAGTGTATAGTAATACTGTGTCAGTGTATAGTAATACTGTGTCAGTGTATAGTAATACTGTGTCAGTGTATAGTAATACTGTGTCAGTGTATAGTAATACTGTGTCAGTGTATAGTAATACTGTGTCAGTGTATAGTAATACTGTGTCAGTGTATAGTAATACTGTGTCAGTGTATAGTAATACTGTGTCAGTGTATAGTAATACTGTGTCAGTGTATAGTAATACTGTGTCAGTGTATAGTAATACTGTGTCAGTGTATAGTAATACTGTGTCAGTGATAGTATACTGTGTCAGTTATGAGTAATCTGTGTCAGTGTATAGTAATACTGTGTCAGTGTATAGTAATACTGTGTCAGTGTATAGTAATACTGGTCAGTGTATAATATGTTAAATACTGTGTCAGTGTATAGTAATACTGTGTCAGTGTATAGTAATACTGTGTCAGTGTATAGTAATACTGTGTCAGTGTATAGTAATACTGTGTCAGTGTATAGTAATACTGTGTCAGTGTATAGTAATACTGTGTCAGTGTATAGTTAATACTGTGTCAGTGTATAGTAATACTGTGTCAGTGTATAGTAATACTGTGTCAGTGTATAGTAATACTGTGTCAGTGTATAGTAATACTGTGTCAGTGTATAGTAATACTGCGTCAGTGTATAGTAATACTGTGTCAGTGTATAGTAATACTTTATTTATAAACTGTGTCAGTGTATAGTAATACTGTGTCAGTGTATAGTAATACTGTGTCAGTGTATAGTAATACTGTGTCAGTGTATAGTAATACTGTGTCAGTAGTATATAGTTAAATACTGTGTCAGTGTATAGTAATACTGTGTCAGTGTATAGTAATACTGTGTCAGTGTTTATAGATAAATACTGCGTCAGTGTATAGTAATACTGCGTCAGTGTATAGTAATACTGCGTCAGTGTATAGTAATACTGCGTCAGTGTATAGTAATACTGCGTCAGTGTATAGTAATACTGCGTCAGTGTATAGTAATACTGCGTCAGTGTATAGTAATACTGCGTTAGTGTATAGTAATACTGCGTCAGTGTATAGTAATACTGCGTCAGCGTATAGTAATACCTGTGTTATTGTATAGTAATGGAGCATCAGTGTATAATGATGCTGCATCAGTGTATCTTAATATTACTGCTGTAAGTGTATTGTAATATTGGGTCATGTTGTTTATGGTAATAACTGAGTTGTCAGATATAGGAATCTAATTACAGTATTTAAGCATATCGACTACACGAGGTGTATTAAGCTGGTCATGTCACCTTTGCCTTCAGTCAATGAATACTTTAATCTGCATGTATTTGAGAAGAACATTAACTCGTCACAGTGTGTAAAATCTATGGAGTGATAGGTAAATTGCTAAACAACAATTTAAACTTATAAGCTGGTATATTCACCAAAACAAAGTGCGGTACTGTGTGAGTTTATTAAAGGACTTGTGTAAGGTGCATGTGAAAGAACGAGAGTTAAAGAATGAGAAACGATTATGTTTAATTAACGATTGTAAACAACGAAGAGAGTGCATAAAAGTTTACACGTAGAAGAGGTGTGTGTGATACGAAAATTGGATGCCAATTGGTGAAGAAGACACGTTAATGATGTTATTTAGTTGCCAGTGTTTAAGTACCTGGAGGTAAGATGAGTGTAGAGGCGAGGCTGGAACACACGGCAGGCGAGTCTTAAAACTTACTAGCCAGTGTGTAAGCCACTGGAGGGATGTTAAGGCAATGTTTAGGGATTTTGAGTACAGTGGGAGACAACTTCTGTTAGGAAGCTTTAATGCTGAAGTGGGACAATCTGTTGTAGGTGTACCTGGAAGTTTGGAGTAGCGGAAGTAGTGACTGTGTAGGACATTTCAATGAATTTTACTCTGGGTAGAAGTTTGGTAATAGGCAATGGTATAAGAATTTAATAAGATATAATTACTGTAGAGGAAGATTGCAGCAGGACATCACGTCCATGCTAGTAGGTCCTACTGGCTCATTTTAGAAGGTCAAACTGATATGATGAAGAGAACAAAGGGTGGATCAAAAAGTTCTCAGACTTGACGTATATCCTGCGTCGTACCTAGTGCACAAACAATCAATTAGGCTTTTTATAAAGAGGTTATAATGCGATTAAGGGATAAAATTAGAGGAAACCGCTGCGAGCAGTGTGAAAATGGTCGATGATTTCTTCATTATACCAACGCTCCTTCACTAGCTGTTGTCTTCATGATCTTTTGGCTGAAAAAACTTTCCCGTGACACCACACCCTCCGTATTCACCTGTCAATACGGAAGATATTGTCCCGTGTGATTCTTTTGTGTTTACAGATATCAGAATGAAGCTGTAAGGAAGGAGATTTTATGACGTATCATCCTTCCTTAAGAAGGTGAAAACGGAAGTCAGCGAACTTACAGATGAAGACCTCTATCCTTTCTTCTGAGAGTGGCAGGAACGTTGTGGCTAGTGTACATCATTGGTGTGTGTGTGGGGGGGGAGGGAGGGAGGGGGCAGATTAGTTGCCAAGGGACATAGTTGTTGTTGTACACAATTCTTAAATAAAAAAAAAAAGGCTAAGTCTTGGAACTTTTTGTTGGCATCTCATGTACTGGTGGATAGAAAGACGCGCATGTTATTAGAGGAGATACAGTTATGTTTGGTCTGCCTAGTGCAAAGTTCTAAATGTTGGACAGTTAAATAACCATGCCACATATAAACTAAATAATGTAGATTTTAATACTACAGATTGTGAAAAGGATTTAGGAGTTCTGGTTAGCAGTAACCTAAAACCAAGACAACAGTGCATTAGTGTTCGCAATAAAGCTAACAGAATTCTTGGCTTCATATCTAGAAGTATAAATAATAGAAGTCCTCAGGTTATTCTTCAACTCTATATATCCTTGGTTAGGGCCTCATTTAGACTGCTGCTTAGTTCTGGTCACCGTATTACAGAATGGATATAAATGCTCTGGAAAACGTACAAAGGAGGATGACAAAGATGATCCCATGTATCAGAAATCTTCCCTATGAGGATAAACTGAGGGCCTTGAATCTGCACTCTCTCGAAAGGCGTAGAATTAGGGGGGATATGATCGAGGTGTATAAATGGAAAACAGGAATAAATAAAGGGGATGTAAATAGCGTGCTGAAAATTTCCAGCCATGACAGGACTCGCAGCAATGGTTTCAAGTTGGAAAAATTCAGATTCAGGAAGGATATAGGAAAGCACTGGTTTGGTAACAGAGTTGTGGATGAGTGGAACAAACTCCCGAGTACAGTTATTCAGGCTAAAACGTTGTGCAGTTTTAAAAATAGGTTAGATAAATACATGAGTGGGTGTGGGTGGGTGTGAGTTGACCTGACTAGCTTGTCCTGCTGGGTCTGGTGCAGTGCTCCATCCTCGAGTGGAAATGACCAGGCTGGGTGGGTCATTGGGATAATCCGGGGGGTGGGTCATTGATCTAATCCGGGGGGGGAAACATGGACCTGCTCCGCTTGGGCCAGTAGGCCTGTTGCAATGTTCCTTCTTTATGTTCTTATGTACACCTTAATGAACGATGTGGAGAATGATGTCAGTGAGTACAGTTATTAAATATTCATAGGGAAACGCTAAATCTGGTTGAGTCGTACAGTGTTGGCAAAAGGGAAAGCTATCATGCTGGACCCATTTCCTCGGATCAAGAGTCACTGACCAGCAACAAGACGCACACTCTCCACTCTGTAAGGGTCAATAGAGAGAAGAGAAAGTGAATCAAACTCTGTTTTTGGTCTCCTTACTCCCGAGAGAGAGTATGTGTGTGTGTGTGTGTGTGTGTGTGTGTGTATGTGTGTACTCACCTAATTGTGGTTGCAAGGGTCGAGACTCAGCTCCTGGCGTGTGTGTGTGAGTGAAAAAAACAGCGTATAGTATCTCCAATGACTAGTCACTCCGACTCGGGAGACCCAGCCATAATGTATGTTATTACTGTCGCTTGTGCAAGATGACCAGAGTTGGAGCACGTAAACAAAGTACTCGGGTTTGATCCTGGTACGAGTGGGAGTCTTCACACCTGGTGCCCCAGTTTACCTAGCAGTAACTAGGTACCTGGGTTTTAGCCGACTAAACCATACCACGGGCGGGCTTAGAACCCGCGATCAGAGAGTCTCAAAACTCCAGACCGTCGTGATATGGTTTGTTGCAATCGTATCATTACGATTTCGTGAGACTTTTAGCCGACTCTTGTGGGTTATATAATAGAAGAGTTATAGTACATAGAGGTAAGAATGGGTGATTGTGGGGTGATAAATGTGAGGGGAAGGAGGGGGGGTTAGAGGTTAGAGGGGTGTTAGAAATAGTGTGTAGTGATGGGGCATCATGGGTTATGTAGTAGAGGTATGGGGAATAAATTAACATGGGAACCAGGTGTCAACACAATCCACGACTTACACGATGCAAACAATATCTATCTTAAATGACCTGGACTTACCTCCGTGACCTTTACCGATGAGTCCTCCTCCGCCGCCGCCGAATCCTCCGCCGCCGCCGTATCCTCCGCCGCCGCCGAATCCTCCGCCTCCTTTGACGTCCACGAATCCACCATCGATGATTCCACCGCCTCCTTTGACTCCCCCGAATCCACCGTCAACAAATCCACCGCCTCCTTTACCTCCGACGAATCCACCGTCAATTATTCCACCATCGATGATTCCACCTCCTTTGCCTCCAACAAATCCACCACCTCCGCCGTATCCTCCACCGCCGAATCCACCATCGACAAATCCTCCGCCTCCTTTTCCTAATCCACCACCGCCGAATCCACCATCGACAAATCCTCCGCCTCCTTTTCCTAATCCACCACCTACTCCTTCGTCGATAAAAATGTCATCGGGTCCACCACCAATAATTCCTCCACCTCCACCTCCGTATCCTCCTCCAAATCCACCACCTCCAAACCCACCTATATTTCCTCCTTTAAATCCACCTCCTCCTCCAAGTCCACCACCTCCAAAGCCACCTCCTCCGAAGCCACCCCCTCCATATCCACCTCCTCCAAAGCCACCTCCTCCGAAGCCACCCCCTCCATATCCACCTCCTCCAAAGCCACCTCCACCAAATCCACCGCCTCCAATGCCACCTCCTCCATATCCACCGCCTCCAAAGCCACCTCCACCAAATCCACCTCCTCCGAAGCCACCTCCACCAAATCCACCTCCTCCGTATCCACCTCCTCCGTATCCACCTCCTCCGTATCCACCTCCTCCTGGTACGTATTTGACAGTGTTTACGTAGTGGACCGGGACAGTGATGGGCACGTAGACATACTCGTACTTGTAGCCGCCACCACCACCTCCTTTCTTGCCGCCGAAGCCGCCGCCGCCGCCATAGCCGCCGCCGCCACCGCCAAAGCCCTTGCCTGGGTCGGCCACGGCTGCCGCTGCCGCTAACAACGCCACCGCTAACACGGCCGGCACGTGCTGCTGGATACAACACGTGGTCAGGAAGATGACAGGGAAGTGATAAGTTGGGATGGTCAGGCCCATCATACACTAGTGAATCCTACTTCCTGTACTAGTGAATCCTACTACCATTGCTAGTAAATCCTACTGCCTGTATTAGTAAATCCTACTGCCTGTACTAGTAAATCCTATTGCATGAACTAGTGAATCCTACTGCCTGTACTAGTGAATCCTAATGCCTGTACTAGTGAATTCTACTGTCTGTACTAGTGAATCCTACTGCCTGTACTAGTAAATCCTACTGCCTGTACTAGTAAATCCTACTGCCTGTACTAGTGAATCCTACTGCCTGTACTGGTGAATCCTAATGTCTGTACTAGTGAATTCTACTGTCTGTACTAGTGAATCCTACTGCCTGTACTAGTAAATCCTACTGCCTGTACTAGTGAATCCTACTGCCTGTACTAGTAAATCCTACTGCCTGTACTAGTGAATCCTACTGCCTGTACTAGTGAATCCTACTGCCTGTACTAGTGAATCCTACTGCCTGTACTAGTGAATCCTACTGCCTGTACTAGTAAATCCTACTGCCTGTACTAGTGAATCCTACTGCCTATACTAGTGAATCCTACTGCCTGTACTAGTAAATCCTACTGCCTGTACTAGTGAATCCTACTGCTTGTACTAGTAAATCCTACTGCCTGTACTAGTGAATCCTACTGCCTGTACTAGTGAATCCTACTGCCTGTACTAGTGAATCCTACTGCCTGTACTAGTGAATCCTACTGCCTGTACTAGTAAATCCTACTGCCTGTACTAGTGAATCCTACTGCCTGTACTAGTGAATCCTACTGCCTGTACTAGTGAATCCTACTGCCTGTACTAGTAAATCCTACTGCCTGTACTAGTGAATCCTACTGCCTGTACTAGTAAATCCTACTGCCTGTACTAGTAAATCCTACTGCCTGTACTAGTGAATCCTACTGCCTGTACTAGTAAATCCTACTGCCTGTACTAGTGAATCTTACTACCATAATAGTAACCACTGAACAATGTAATATACTGGAACTGAATCATTGACGTTACTGAGGTATCCTGTCTTAAACTCGGCTTTACTTTGTTACATAAAACCAATATAAATATTTTAACTGATTTATGGGCCTAATACATATTCACATAATATTTGAGGAATAAAAGTCATAGTATCATCGTGGCTAGAAAAATAAACAACCATCCCATAGATTGTAAATGAAAATAAATGATGTTTCGCCCCGTCTTAGACCATTATGTCTCGACAATGGTCCTGGAGCGAGCGAAACGTCTAGCTTTTCCATTTTCAATTTGTGAGTCACTTATGTTTTTTTTTCAGTTTGGAAAATAAATGTGCTGGAAAAATGTTGAAGTAAGAGCAACGAGTCTGCTATGAACATTAAAATGTCAGTGTTCTATAGGTACGGGTGGACAGAGGAGCTCACCATGTTGTCGTAGCTCCTCAGTAGACTAGACGAGGGTGGGAAAAGCTCCGTGCGTTTTATAGGTGGGTTGGTGCCTCTCACCGCCGTCCAGAGAACATTCACTTGACCTGTTGTCTGACTTGTATATACGATCTGATCGTGAGGACTTGCTGCTAGGTTTGTAAACAAGACCGCGTTAAGACCCATCCTTTGAGTTCGACCTGACCTTCGGCCGGGTTGCGAACAAAATGCTATGCACGAGCGGGGATTAACTTTGGAACAAGTGCTGCCCCAGTTCGTAAACAAGACGGGTTCGGAATGCTCTCCTGCCGGGTTTGGAATTAACTGCTTCCGGGTTCGAAATATTCTGCTGTCGGATGAGGACTGAGTTACTGCCGGGTTGGGAATGTTCTGTTGAACAGAACATTTGTATGCCAGACTGAGTGGAAACTTGACCTCCGCCAACCTCTCATGGTTGCCAGGTGAGGTTTCATTAAACAGGTTGACAATGTGACAAAAAATTTAAGAATAACAAAAATCATTGTCTGCAATATTACTCGATTAGTGTACCAGACGTAGCGTACGAGTTACTTTATTATTATTATCCAAAATTACAACTATTAATGCTACTGCTACTATACTACTACTACTACTACTACTACTACCAATGCAACTCGTACTGTTACTGCTGCAACTACTACTGCTGCAACTACTACTGCTGCTATATCTGCTGCTGCTACTATTGCTACTAGCGTCATTGCTACTACAATTACTGCTGCTACTATTGCTACTAGCGTCATTGCTACTACAACTACTTTTGCTACTACTATTAATTATAACATTTAGTCACACAAAACACTCATTGCTCCTTAACAATGGTTGTTAAGGAGCAAGTAAATAACTGTAACCCCTGTTGTTTACCCCTGTTGTTTACACCCTCTCGTTTACACCTTGTTGTTTACACTTCAGTCAGCTTTGTTTACACTTAAGTTTGTTTTAAATTCAGATGATTCATATTTACCGTCTGTTTGGTTTGCTTGTTATTATTTCTGAAGATAGGAACTAGAGTTAACTTCGTTTACTCGAGTATACTCTCAGAGACATACACCTCTCGATGTATATATGACGTGTCATGCACACCTTATAAAAAATTGTATATATGTGTAAGTCAATTAAGATTTTTAAAAACATTCTCGAAGGAATTTCTTAAAATTCAAAATACTAAGACAGTTGTGATGTGCTCAGAACACTAACACTTGTGGTGTGCTCAGAACACTGACACTTGTGGTGTGCTCAGATCACTGACACTTGTGGTGTGCTCAGAACACTGACACTTGGGGTGTGCTCAGAACATTAACACTTGTGGTGTGCTCCGAACACTAACACTTGTGGTGTGCTCCGAACACTGACACTTGTGGTGTGCTCAGAACACTGGCACTTGTGGTGTGCTCAGAACACTGACACTTGTGGTGTGCTCAGAACACTGACACTTGTGGTGTGCTCAGAACACTGGCACTTGTGGTGTGCTCAGAACACTGGCACTTGTGGTGTGCTCAGAACACTGACACTTGTGGTGTGCTCAGAACACTAACACTTGTGGTGTGCTCAGAACACTAACGCTTGTTGTGTGCTCAGAACACTAACACTTGTGGTGTGCTCCGATCACTGACACTTGTGGTGTGCTCAGAACACTGGCACTTGTGGTGTGCTCGGAACACTAACACTTGTGGTGTGCTCAGAACACTAACGCTTGTTGTTTGCTCAGAACACTAACACTTGTGGTGTGCTCCGATCACTGACACTTGTGGTGTGCTCAGAACACTGGCACTTGTGGTGTGCTCAGAACACTAGCGCTTGTGGTGTGCTCAGAACACTAGCGCTTGTGGTGTGCTCAGAACACTGGCACTTGTGGTGTGCTCAGAACACTAACACTTGTGGTGTGCTCAGAACACTGGCACTTGTGGTGTGCTCAGAACACTAACACTTGTGGTGTGCTCAGAACACTGGCACTTGTGGTGTGCTCAGAACACTAGCGCTTGTGGTGTGCTCAGAACACTAGCACTTGTGGTGTGCTCAGAACACTAACGCTTGTTGTGTGCTCAGAACACTAACACTTGTGGTGTGCTCAGAACACTAGCGCTTGTGGTGTGCTCAGAACACTAGCACTTGTGGTGTGCTCAGAACACTAACACTTGTGGTGTGCTCCGATCACTGACACTTGTGGTGTGCTCAGAACACTGGCACTTGTGGTGTGCTCAGAACACTAGCGCTTGTGGTGTGCTCAGAACACTAGCACTTGTGGTGTGCTCAGAACACTAACACTTGTGGTGTGCTCCGATCACTGACACTTGTGGTGTGCTCAGAACACTAACGCTTGTTGTGTGCTCAGAACACTAACACTTGTGGTGTGCTCGGAACACTAACACTTGTGGTGTGCTCAGAACACTAACACTTGTTGTGTGCTCAGAACACTAACACTTGTGGTGTGCTCGGAACACTAACACTTGTGGTGTGCTCAGAACACTAACACTTGGGTGTGCTCAGAACACTAACACTTGTGGTGTGCTCGGAACACTAACACTTGTTGTGTGCTCGGAACACTAACACTTGTGTGTGCTCAGAACACTAACACTTGTTGTGTGCTCAGAACACTAACACTTGTGGTGTGCTCTGAACACTAACACTTGTGGTGTGCTCCGATCACTGACACTTGTGGTGTGCTCAGAACACTGACTCTTGTGGTGTGCTCAGAACACTGACTCTTGTGGTGTGCTCAGAACACTAACACTTGTGGTGTGCTCAGAACACTAACACTTGTGGTGTGCTCTGAACACTAACACTTGTGGTGTGCTCCGATCACTGACACTTGTGGTGTGCTCTGAACACTGACACTTGTGGTGTGCTCAGAACACTGACTCTTGTGGTGTGCTCAGAACACTAACACTTGTGGTGTGCTCAGAACACTAACACTTGTGGTGTGCTCGGAACACTAACACTTGTGGTGTGCTCAGAACACTAACACTTGTTGTGTGCTCAGAACACTAACACTTGTGGTGTGCTCTGAACACTAACACTTGTGGTTGCTCCGAATCACTGACACTTGTGGTGTGCTCAGAACACTAACACTTGTGGTGTGCTCAGAACACTGACACTTGTGGTGTGCTCAGAACACTAACACTTGTGGTGTGCTCAGAACACTGACACTTGTGGTGTGCTCAGAACACTGGCACTTGTGGTGTGCCCCAGAACACTGACACTTGTGGTGTGCTCAGAACACTGGCACTTGTGGTGTGCTCAGAACACTGGCACTTGTGGTGTGCTCAGAACACTAACACTTGTGGTGTGCTCCGATCACTGACACTTGTGGTGTGCTCAGAACACTGGCACTTGTGGTGTGCTCAGATCACTGACGCTTGTGGTGTGCTCAGAACACTAACACTTGTGTTGTGCTCGGAACACTAACACTTGTGGTGTGCTCAGAACACTAGCACTTGTGGTGTGCTCAGAACACTAACACTTGTGGTGTGCTCAGAACACTAGCACTTGTGGTGTGCTCAGAGCACTAACACTTGTGGTGTGCTCAGAACACTAGCACTTGTGGTGTGCTCAGAGCACTAACACTTGTGGTGTGCTCAGAACACTAACACTTGTGGTGTGCTCAGAACACTAGCACTTGTGGTGTGCTCAGAACACTAACACTTGTGGTGTGCTCAGAACACTAACACTTGTGGTGTGCTCAGAACACTAGCACTTGTGGTGTGCTCAGAACACTAGCACTTGTGGTGTGCTCAGAACACTAGCACTTGTGGTGTGCTCAGAACACTAACACTTGTGGTGTGCTCAGAACACTAGCACTTGTGGTGTGCTCAGAGCACTAACACTTGTGGTGTGCTCAGATCATTGACACTTGTGGTGTGCTCAGAACACTAACACTTGTGGTGTGCTCAAAACACTAACACTTGTGGTGTTCTCAAAACACTAACACTTGTGGTGTTCTCAAAACACTAACACTTGTGGTGTGCTCAAAACACTAACACTTGTGGTGTTCTCAAAACACTAACACTTTTGGTGTTCTCAAAACACTAACACTTGTGGTGTGCTCAAAACACTAACACTTGTGGTGTTCTCAAAACACTAACACTTGTGGTGTTCTCAAAACACTAACACTTGTGGTGTGCTCAGAACACTGGCACTTGTGGTGTGCTCAGAACACTAACACTTGTGGTGTTCTCAAAACACTAACACTTGTGGTGTGCTCAGAACACTAACACTTGTGGTGTGCTCAAAACACTAACACTTGTGGTGTGCTCAAAACACTAACACTTGTGGTGTGCTCAAAACACTAACACTTGTGGTGTGCTCAAAACACTAACACTTGTGGTGTGCTCAAAACACTAACACTTGTGGTGTGCTCAGAACACTAACACTTGTGGTGTGCTTAATAACAATATGACTCACACGTCAGAAATAAAACGTTTTACCCAACAAGTTTTGCAAGATGCATTGGAAAGGCGATTTTGGTGTTGCAAGAAATGTGTTGCAGGAAAGGAAGTGGAAGGAGCTGGTTGTATTGCAGGAAAGGAAGAGATGTGCTGGAAAACTAGGGGAAGGGGGAGAAAGGAAGAGTCGGTGTGGGTTATAAATTGAAATGGAAAGGGTTGCTTGTGTTGCTACAAAAGGGTAAAGAGAGGTTTGGGAGGGTTGGAACAAAGGCAGAGGGAGCGATGCAGCAAAGGGAGAAAGGTTAGGGAAGAGATTAAATGAGGTTAGGCAGAGACGTCTGCAATATGCAAGTTACAATAACCAGTCTGAGGTAACGGTAAGCCCTCAGCCATGACTCGTCTTGAGTGAACACCGCATTGCCTGTCGCTGCTGTGCTGGGCTGCCTGCTTTGTCAACACAATGGATGTTTAAAATGTTTACTCAGGCAGGTTCGCCGTCATAACAGCAGTTTTTGAGAGCTTCGTAAATATATAACATCATCTTAGCAGCGTCTAGAAAATATTTGTAAACATTTGTAGTGCCTCATATGTGGTTTGTAGACAATGACAGTGATTTAGGTGTGGTTTGTAAACACTGGTAGTGCCTTAGGTGTGGTTTGTAAACACTGGTAGTGCCTTAGGTGTGGTTTGTAAACACTGGTAGTACCTTAGGTGTGGTTTGTAAACACTGGTAGTGCCTTAGGTGTGGTTTGTAAACACTGGTAGTACCTTAGGTGTGGTTTGTAAACACTGGTAGTGCCTAAGGTGTGGTTTGTAAATACTGACAATGATTTAGGTGTAATCTGTAAACAATGACATTGCTTCAGGTGTAGTTTGTAAACACTGCCTCGGGTGTGATTTGTAAATATAACAGCATCTGAGGAAAGGTCTACAAACAGCAACATTCCAAGTGTTTGTAAGAATGACAACAGTTTAACGTGACCACGACTCAGGAAATTTCGTCAGCACGAGAGAAATTCGATACTTTATTTCTAGGAGATTCCTCAAGAGAAGTTAATATGTGTAGCTTCTGTGTTTACGGAAACAGTCTATCACAGGAATGTAGATGAATGGTTCAGAGAACTGACAAGTTGATAAATTAGACACACGTGCAACACTTGGGTATCTTTAATGAGGAAACGTTTCGCCACACAGTGGCTTCATCAGTCCATACAATGTTGAAGTCAATGTGTGGCGAAATGTTTCCTCATTAAAGATACCGAAGTGTTGCACGTGTCTAAATTCTCAATTTATCAGTGTCTGGTGATATTCCCTAAGTCGTTCTCGTTAAGTTGGTTCGTAGGTCGTTCTGCTAAGGAGGTCCAGACGTCGCTTTCGTTATGAAAGGTGTTTCGTAGGTGGTGCTCGGCGAGTGAGGTGTGGTTCCTGCAATATTCTCGATGCTAAAAAGGTCATACGCAGTTCACCTGCGGTGGTGACGCCCGTCTCACTCACATCCTGCCTGGGTAAGCTTCATTCCTGCCTCTCCCTCTCTCTCTCTCTCTCTCTCTCTCTCTCTCTCTCTCTCTCTCTCTCTCTCTCTCTCTCTCTCTCTCTCTCTCTGAACAAACTACCCGCTAAAGCAGTAAGCATTAAGACAATACGGTCATTTAAGAAACAGGTGAACAAGAACCTTATAAACAGATACGACTAGATACATTACTGTGGCAAACTGCAGTCAACAGAGTCCTGATGTTAGTTCCGCAACTACATTAGGACCAGCAGTTGATAATAAGCCTCCCAGGGTATAATAACAATAAACAGAGGCAGTGGTGGTAGTCGTGACAGGCATAACCCTGTCCACCGGTAACTTGGTGCTTGTTCCGAAGCTCTTTCACAAGATATCTCATAACTCGTTTCCACCTGCGCCAGAGTATCCAAAAATAAAACCACTGGTACGCACAGTTCTGTGGGGAAAAGTTGCGTACCAAGCTCAGCTGCTGTAGGAAGAGTGGTGATGCATAGATGTAGGTTGTAGCGCCTCACTTCCATCCATTTCCATTTTTATTTGTCAGTATGGTATGACATATTTTTACCCTTGCTTCATGCCGGGAGTAACCGGAAGGAGTGAAGAGTAGGGAGAGAACCTTCTCCTTTACTTCTATTGCTTCAAACATCTAAATTCTAGATGAGTAATGATAGATCTAGATATAGATAATAAGACATGGAAATCAATGGATAACATCGGTGTGAAATTTTGAACTTCACAACGAAACTATTACTGCTACAACCACTACTACTGCTATTACTACAATATTACAGCTATTACTACAACTAATGTTATTACAACTACTACAATTATTACTACTACTACAACTACGATTATTACTACTACAACTACGACTATTACTACTACAACTACTATACTACTACAATTTTTACTGCTAATACAACTACTACAACTATTGCTACAATTACAATTACTACTATTCCTACAGCTATTACTAAAACTATTACTATAACTACTATTATTATTACTACTGCTACTACTACTACTAGTAGTAGTAGTAGTAGTAGTAATGATAATGCATTTTAATTGTATCTTCGGGTTATTAATAATTAAGTAATGAGGGTTTATTTATTAAAAATTTCGGTGTATATAAATGAGTTGCTTAAACGTGAGGGCATAAAGTTGAGTTGTGACGTCACTCTTGTTACTTCCCGTAACCTGCAATAACAGAGAAATGTATTTATAACCACTGGTATATACACACGGCAAGTGAGTGCACACACACACACACACACACACACACACACACACACACACACACACACACACACACACACATACACACACACACATACACACACACACATGATAACGAAATTAAATACTGAAAGGAAGTGACAAGATAGATAGGGACAGGATGTTCCAGAGATGGGACAACAACAAGAGGTCACATCTGGAAGCTGAAAAGCCAGATGAGTCAGGGATGTTAGGAAGCATTTCTTCAGCTATAGACTTGTCAGGAAGTGGAACAATCTGGTGAGTGAAGTTGTGGAGGCAGGATCCACAATTAGCTTTAAGAATAGGTACGATAAATCTCATGGAGTAGGGAGAGAGTGGACCTAGTAGCGACCAGTGAAGAGGCGGGACCAGGAGCTGTGAATCAACACCTGCAACCTTCACCAACACCAAGGCATTCCTTCTTGAGAGAGAATATTTCTTTAGTTATTTCCTGTTATTCTAACTGTCAGTGTTTACAATGATTGATAGACCTAGATATTGTTAGTTGTTAGTGAGGAAGTTTGTTACATTGTTAGTTGTTAGTGAGGAAGTTTGTTACATTGTTAGTTGTTAGTGAGGAAGTTTGTTACACTGTTAGTTGTTAGTGAGGAAGTTTGTTACATTGTTAGTTGTTGGTGAGGAAGTTTGTTACATTGTTAGTTGTTGGTGAGGAAGTTTGTTACATTGTTAGTTGTTGGTGAGCAAGTTTGTTACATTGTAAGTTGTTGGTGAGGAAGTTTGTTACATTGTTAGTTGTTGGTGAGGAAGTTTGTTACATTGTTAGTTGTTGGTGAGGAAGTTTGTTACATTGTTAGTAAGGAAGTTTGTTATATTGTTAGTTGTTAGTTAGGAAGTTTGTTAATTGTTAGTTGTTAGTTAGGAAGTTTGTTATATTGTCAGTAAGGTATTTAGTTATATTGTTAGTTGTTAGTTAGGAAGTTTGTTAGTGTTACTTGCTAGTGTGAAGTTTGTTACATTGTTAGTTGTTAGTGTGGAATTTTTTACAGTGTTAATTGTTAGTGTTAAGTTTATTATAGTGTTACTTTTTAGTGTTAAGTTTATTACAATGTTACTTGTTAGTGTTAAGTTTATTATAGTGTTACTTGCTAGTGTGAAGCTAGTTACAGTGTTACTTGCTAGTGTGAAGCTAGTTACAGTGTTACTTGCTAGTGTGAAGCTAGTTACAGTGTTACTTGCTAGTGTGAAGCTAGTTACAGTGTTACTTGCTAGTGTGAAGCTAGTTACAGTGTTACTTGCTAGTGTGAAGCTGTTACAGTGTTACTTGCTAGTGTGAAGCTAGTTACAGTGTTTACTTGCTATGAGTGTGAAGCTAGTTACAGTGTTACTTGCTAGTGTGAAGCTAGTTACAGTGTTACTTGCTAGTGTGAAGCTAGTTACAGTGTTACTTGCTAGTGTGAAGCTAGTTACAGTGTTACTTGCTAGTGTGAAGCTAGTTACAGTGTTACATGCTAGTGTGAAGCTAGTTACAGTGTTACTTGCTAGTGTGAAGCTAGTTACAGTGTTACTTGCTAGTGTGAAGCTAGTTACAGTGTTACTTGCTAGTGTGAAGCTAGTTACAGTGTTACTTGCTAGTGTGAAGCTAGTTACAGTGTTACTTGCTAGTGTGAAGCTGTTTACAGTGTTACTTGCTAGTGTGGAAGCTAGTTACAGTGTTACTTGCAGTGTGAAGCTAGTTACAGTGTTACTTGCTAGTTTGAAGCTAGTTACAGTGTTACTTGCTAGTGTGAAGCTGTTGCAGTGTTACTTGCTAGTGTGAAGCTAGTTACAGTGTTACTTGCTAGTGTGAAGCTAGTTTACAGTGTTACTTGCTAGTGTGAAGCTAGTTACAGTGTTACTTGCTAGTGTGAAGCTAGTTACAGTGTTATTGCTAGTGGAAGCTGTTACAGTGTTACTTGCTGTGTGAAGCTAGTTACAGTGTTACTTGCAGGTGAAGCTAGTTACAGTGTTACTTGCTAGTGTGAGCTAGTTACAGTGTTACTTGCTAGTGTGAAGCTGTTACAGTGTTACTTGCTAGTGTGAAGCTAGTTACAGTGTTACTTGCTAGTGTGAAGCTGTTGCAGTGTTATTTGCTAGTGTGAAGCTAGTTACAGTGTTACTTGCTAGTGTGAAGCTAGTTACAGTGTACTTGCTAGTGTGAAGCTAGTTACAGTGTTACTTGCTAGTGTGAAGCTAGTTACAGTGTTACTTGCTAGTGTGAAGCTAGTTACAGTGTTACTTGCTAGTGTGAAGCTAGTTACAGTGTTACTTGCTAGTGGAAGCTAGTTACAGTGTTACTTGCTAGTGTGAAGCTAGTTACAGTGTTACTTGCTAGTGTGAAGCTATTACAGTGTTACTTGCTAGTGTGAAGCTGTTACAGTGTTACTTGCTAGTGTGAAGCTAGTTACAGTGTTACTTGCTAGTGTGAAGCTGTTGCAGTGTTACTTGCTAGTGTGAAGCTAGTTACAGTGTTACTTGCTAGTGTGAAGCTAGTTACAGTGTTACTTGCTAGTGTGAAGCTAGTTACAGTGTCACTGCTAGTGTGAAGCTAGTTACAGTGTTACTTGCTAGTGTGAAGCTAGTTACAGTGTTACTTGCTAGTGTGAAGCTAGTTACAGTGTTACTTGCTAGTGTGAAGCTAGTTACAGTGTTACTTGCTAGTGTGAAGCTAATTACAGTGTTACTTGCTAGTGTGAAGCTAGTTACAGTGTTACTTGCTAGTGTGAAGCTAGTTACAGTGTTACTTGCTAGTGTGAAGCTAGTTACAGTGTTACTTGCTAGTGTGAAGCTAGTTACAGTGTTACTTGCTAGTGTGAAGCTGTTACAGAGGATCGAGCATTGAGCCTCCATTAAGATTTCCCATTAGTACTGCTGATGGGAAATCTTAATTACTACTAATGTGTTTGGTCTCAGTGGAGGGCTCTTGGTCAATGGTATTGGCTCCCATCCTCTCATACCATGGATGGTAACTGAGTACCTCTCATTTCCCCGAGCTCTGTAACCCCATACGGGTTTAGGTTTCTCAATGAGCACATACTGAGTTGAGATCTAAATTAAATGATGATGGTGTTTTGCTTTGCTTAGAGACTAAAATATAAAAATTGAATGTAAATATCTTACCTCCGTATCCGCCTCCGTGTCCTCCACCATATCCACCACCGTGTCCTCCTCCATATCCACCTCCGTGTCCTCCACCATATCCACCACCATGTCCTCCTCCATATCCACCTCCGTGTCCTCCACCATATCCACCACCATGTCCTCCTCCATATCCACCTCCGTGTCCTCCACCATATCCACCAACGTAGTGAACAGTTTGGTGGTGATGAACAGGAACATGTACAGGAACATAGACATAGTGCACACGACCATATCCACGGCCCCCGCCACCTCCCTTGTGGCCCGGGGTGGCCATGGCCACCGCCGCCAGAGCCATCAGAACAACTAATAACACACGCTGCAACAAACATAATAGAAAGTTAAGTCGATGTTTCGATCCGTTATTGATTATTATTATGTCTTGTTGACACGGTCCGAAGAGTCACCCATTTTTCAACCACAATGTTGTGGGTTACTTGTGGACTGTTCCAGCCACGGTATTGTTGCAACTACGGTACTGTTGGAATATTCTTGATACCTGGGTGTGTTTTGAAACAGCTTGACATAGCTGGTGTTTACATTAGGTGACACAGCGGAGGCATAAACAGTGAGGGTCATTAATACAATGGGTGGAACAATTTACGAACGACCCTTAACACTGCCAGTGCAAAAACTGGAAGACGTTTCAGCTCTCCCTGGAAAATGAAAACTCTGGGCTTGGTCCAGGACGGATCGAAACATCGTTTCCGTCGCCAGTGTTAGTTGTGGATGTGTAAACAGAATGATGTTGCCCCTGGAAACCATTCTCTTATAAATACATTTCCTGAAGATTATTTTCACATTCAAAGGGCTACAACCGTAGGGGTCATAAAGCACATGACGAACAGAAGGACGCTCAGGTTTGATCATGAGGGAAATATGTTAATACTAATAAAAACATTACCAATAAACATTACAACGCAGGTGCTGGCTGCGTGAGCTTACCATTATTGATGGAAACTCTGTACACACTGGACCTACTAACACTTGGGTGCCTTGCAATATATACCAGAGCTGGTGCCTGTCACTGATGCCCAAAACACATTCACCTTCGTTATAACTGACCCCCCTCCCTCCCCATCCCTGTCAGGGGGGTTACAAAACTCTTCGAACTCTATCAAAAACTGAAAGGAAAGAAATCGCTTTTTTCTTTGTGTCTGAACGCACGGATTGGTCCAAGTGTTTTTTTTTCTGTTTACTTCTGTCGTGGTCTGGTTGCAGTAGGAGTGTGTGCTCAACCTTCCCTCGGCTCACCATCTCTGTCTGTCACGCATTGCACAACACGCTAATGTGGAAAAGTTTAATTTATAATACTCTACAAGTATGTTGATCTGCATTACATGGCAGATATTGTATGTTTAATCTCACGCTCATACTGCATGACAGATGTTAGGTAGAAGGACTTACTTATCTAGCTAATACGACGTTTTACTGTGACAACGTTTGGCTTGACAAAGCTCCTGGCGAGTGAAACATTGTAACAATAATATGTCACATTAGTCGTACCTAACATATTGTCGGTAATTCTACCAACATTACTACATAACAGATGTTGTATACGTGATCCGTCGTTCATATTATACAGCAAATATTCCACTTTCGATCCCTCGTTTACATTACAAGTTCTGTATATTGTTTTACGGTCTTATCATTTCAACTTAAGTTTTCATCACAGAAACCGTCCAACTTAAGCTGTTATTTTTAACTTCAGGAAATATGAACTCAGATTAAATCGTAACCAACAATTGTCTATGAATAAACAGGAAGATGGACGGGAGACTCGAACTGTTTAACATTAAATGAACAAGCATTTCTTACTTGACACATACGTGGTCACACATACATGAGGGAATACAACGTCAAGAACTATTCTTTTTCGTAATGGAAATTATAATGGTCACCTTATCACCTGACTCACATACTCAACCCTTCTTTGTAGAAGAATGTGATGAAACGTCTGCCTCTGTGTGTCTATCTATAAACATACAGATAACTCGGGTTTTTCTCGGCTCTAGACAGGCATTTGGTATAATTAGAGACGTTTCAGATGTACTCAGCTTTGTTTACAAGAGGGATGCTAGTCAGTGCCTCATATCTCTCAGTGTGTAATTATTTTTTCTGAGCATCGTTGCTATTTGCTAAAACCGCGAGGGTTCCTGCAACCTCAGGCGAAGGCGAGGCAATAGATATATTCCCTGGAAGGTGAGGATGCATTCAGTTACTCGGATCTTTAAAGAGGCCTTCGTCAGCATCAATGTATCCACTTTAAAGAGGCCACTCTATTTCGTAACTACAAAAGTAAAGTCTTGGAAGTATTTATAACGTATCACTCACTGGTATCACTCATAGGTATCACTGGTATCACAGATGTCACAGATATCACTCACAGGTATCACAGATGTCACAGATATCATTCACAGGTATCACATATCTCACTTACAAGTATCACAGATGTCACTCACAGGTATCACAGATATCACTCACAGGTAACACAGATGCCACTCACAGGTAACACAGATGTCACAGATATCACTCACAGGTATCACAGATGTCACAGATATCATTCACAGGTATCACAGATGTCACTCACAGGTATCACAGATGTCACTCACAGGTATCACAGATGTCACTCACAGGTATCACAGATGTCACTCACAGGTATCACAGATGTCACAGATATCATTCACAGGTATCACAGATATCACTCACAGGTATCACAGATGTCACTCACAGGTATCACAGATGTCACTCACAGGTATCACAGATATCACTTACAGGTATTACAGATGTCACAGATATCATTCACAGGTATCACAGATGTCACTCACAGGTATCACAGATGTCACTCACAGGTATCACAGATGTCACTCACAGGTATCACAGATATCACTTACAGGTATTACAGATGTCACAGAATCATTCACAGGTATCACAGATGTCACTCACAGGTATCACAGATGTCACTCACAGGTATCACAGATGTCACTCACAGGTATCACAGATGTCACTCACAGGTATCACAGATATCACTCACAGGTAACACAGATGCCACTCACAGGTAACACAGATATCACAGATATCACTCACAGGTAACACACAGATGTCACTCACAGGTAACACAGATATCACAGATATCACTCACAGGTAACACAGATATCACTCACAGGTAACACAGATGCCACTCACAGGTAACACAGATATCACAGATATCACTCACAGGTAACACAGATGTCACTCACAGGTAACACAGATATCACAGATATCACTCACAGGTAACACAGATATCACTCACAGGTAACACAGATGCCACTCACAGGTAACACAGATATCACAGATATCACTCACAGGTAACACAGATGCCACTCACAGGTAACACAGATATCACAGATATCACTCACAGGTAACACAGATATCACAGATATCACTCACAGGTAACACAGATGCCACTCACAGGTAACACAGATATCACAGATATCACTCACAGGTAACACAGATGCCACTCACAGGTAACACAGATATCACAGATATCACTCACAGGTAACACAGATGCCACTCACAGGTAACACAGATATCACAGATATCACTCACAGGTAACACAGATATCACTCACAGGTAACACAGATGCCACTCACAGGTAACACAGATATCACAGATATCACTCACAGGTAACACAGATGCACTCACAGGTAACACAGATATCACAGATATCACTCACAGGTAACACAGATATCACAGATATCACTCACAGGTAACACAGATGCCACTCACAGGTAACACAGATATCACAGATATCACTCACAGGTAACACAGATGCCACTCACAGGTAACACAGATATCACAGATATCACTCACAGGTAACACAGATGCCACTCACAGGTAACACAGATATCACAGATATCACTCACAGGTAACACAGATATCACAGATATCACTCACAGGTAACACAGATGCCACTCACATGTAACACAGGTAACACAGATATCACTCACAGGTAACACAGATGCCACTCACAGGTAACACAGGTAACACAGATATCACTCACAGGTAACACAGATGCCACTCACAGGTAACACAGGTAACACAGATATCACTCACAGGTAACACAGATGCCACTCACAGGTAACACAGATATCACTCACAGGTAACACAGATGCCACTCACAGGTAACACAGGTAACACAGATATCACTCACAGGTAAACACAGATGCACTCACAGGTAACACAGATATCACAGATATCACTCACAGGTAACACAGATGCCACTCACAGGTAACACAGATATCACAGATATCACTCACAGGTAACACAGATATCACAGATATCACTCACAGGTAACACAGATGCCACTCACAGGTAACACAGATATCACAGATATCACTCACAGGTAACACAGATGCCACTCACAGGTAACACAGATATCACAGATATCACTCACAGGTAACACAGATGCACCTCACAGGTAACACAGATATACACAGATATCACTCACAGGTAACACAGATATCACAGATATCACTCACAGGTAACACAGATGCCACTCACATGTAACACAGGTAACACAGATATCACTCACAGGTAACACAGATGCCACTCACAGGTAACACAGGTAACACAGATATCACTACAAGGTAACACAGATGCCACTCACAGGTAACACAGGTAACACAGATATCACTCACAGGTAACACAGATGCCACTCACAGGTAACACAGATATCACTCACAGGTAACACAGATGCCACTCACAGGTAACACAGGTAACACAGATATCACTCACAGGTAACACAGATGCCACTCACAGGTAACACAGATATCAATCACAAAGGTAACACAGATGCCACTACAAAGGTAACACAGGTAACACAGATATCACTCACAGGTAACACAGATGCCACTCACAGGTAACACAGATATCACAGATATCACTCACAGGTAACACAGATGCCACTCACAGGTAACACAGGTAACACAGATGCCACTCACAGGTAACACAGGTAACACAGATGCCACTCACAGGTAACACAGGTAACACAGATGCCACTCACAGGTAACGCTGCAGATGTGATCTATGTCAATGCCTGTATATGAAACTAAACACACAGGCAGATAACGATAGTTTTATCACCTCGATTTTAATGGGTTAACGGAGAAAGAGAATATTTGTTAATATATGATCCTGGTGGTGAACTTTTAAGTTCCACCTTGGAGGAAGACTGGTTCACCCTCAAGGTGCCATCATCTCAATTTTTTGCTTAATTAAATTAGCAAAAATAAAACAAAAAAGTAATCCCATATGCAAAATTTACAATGTGATCATTTTCATTCTCCAAAAATTGCGCAATGTACCGAAGAATTCCTTTCCACTGATTAACTTTCATTCTGCGTTCACTAATTAACGTAATATTAGCACTATTTTATGGAGTGTCGTTCTCTGCCCTGTGACCTGCAGTCCAGTGTTGTATATTTAAGTGTTCAAGACCTGTGCTCGATACGTAGGTAGGCCTGCTCAAGGACTGAGCCGCGGGGATGGGGGGTGACCCTTCAAAACAGCGCATCTCGGATCGTATGGACAGACCTTTCCGTACTGGCCTTTACATGTCTATACTCTTTTACTCTGCAATTAAAGAGCATTGTGACTTAATCAAGCACCCTCGTACCTCTAGGCACATCATAGTTCTGACTTCAACACCACAGACACTTGACCTCATCAACTCTGAAGCCTTGTATATAGTGAGAATAAGGCCTCAGGTAAACAACTCCACTACACTTGTTCAGTTGTTCACATGTTAGTTATCACTATGAAACGTGTGCTTTAATTCTGTATTAGATAGGTTAGGTCAACCAATATTTTGTTTGTGTGTCACATCAGTTAGAATTTTAATATAAGACTGATTTTAAATATAATATATTGTATATGGAAACCAGTTATTGTGAATGGTAACTTGCTCATTGTATTTTAACACTGATGGTGGAATTTGAGACTCCGAAACGTATGGAAATAAATGAGTA